TGCATGACATGCAAGAGCAACAGGGCTTGACACAATATTCTGCATCTTCATATATTGAATGGCTTCTTCAACTCTTGAATGACTTTCAGGGCTGATAATCTCCTGTTTGCACAAAAAAATCATGTTTGAAACTTGCAAAAAAATACATGTCGAGAACATTCTGATATCCTGTTATGTGGTTGGCATGAACCAGCAAAAAGATCTACAACCGACAGGAGGAGCCACGTGTTGCCAAATATGAAAAATTAGGAAAAAAAGACATGATGGATCGTCAAAGTGTATCCGAATAAAGGTTCAGGAAACGATCAAATAATATAACACAATTCATCTGAGCTGAAATTGATACTTTCTTGTCAAAATTATATTCACAGTGGCCAACAAAACATTCAATAGGATGGAGTGAACAATTCTTACATTAATATTGAGAAATTATTGTGGAACTTACTGCCTCTGCATGTTTTTTGGTTTGTCTGATCACAATTTTATACTGACATCTCTATTTTAACAGCTCATGGGTGAAAAATGTAAGATAGGCCCGTTCATAGTTTGCATGTTAAACCACTAGTACATCTACCAGTGTTGGGAAATTACGAGTTTTAGCCTGTTCCCGAAGAATTCGGGGGTGGGACCCAGGGTTGGCAAGTATAGAGTATAAATAAGAGTCCGGCAAAGACAATGTGAGCATGAGGACGGAGACAAAATGATACACCCATAAATCGCACAGTCTCGTCACGCACGCAAAAAGTATCGGAACGAAGTGATCTTCTCCAAAAAACCCAACGTGAGTGAGAATAGAGATTATCTCATAACGCACACACGAAGTATCGAAATACACAGCTAACCCTCGACGCGTTTCGTCTGCGCCTTCAGGAGGAAGAAGAAGAAGCAAATACGATACTACACATAGGGCCATACCTCATGCCTTGCCCCATTTTATAGCTACCCTACACCCATCTTAGGCTGCCCATCCCCAACATCTGTCTCTTATACACATCTAGATGTGTATAAGAGACAGCCCTACACCCATCTTAGGCTGCCCATCCCCTACATGATCCCGGCAGAGACCCCACTCCGACCAAAAATCATCACACCCTTTTCGGTCCCGTGACAGGCACAGTCGAAGCAGACAGAATACGTGCAACACGACGATCTTCAGCGGTGCCATGACGGAGGTATCTGGGTCACCTGCAACGCAAGCAGAAGAAAAACAAAGACAGGAGAATCACAGACAAGCACAGACACAGCACAGCACCACAAAAAAATGTGCACAGGGCACGTCACTATCCAGCCTGGTGCGCGCCAGAACTTGCTGCCGAGCTGGCCTGGAGATGGTAGTGTTGTCCTCTCGCCGTCGGCAACGAAAACTGCAACCGTAGCACAGAGTGTTCGTAAAAGAGCTCAGCTAAAGGCTCAGCTTTACGACCTCCAGTCGGTGAACTGGAGATGGCAGAACTGCTGCCACGGCGTCGGCCAAGGAAACCGAATCGAAGAACGCATGTCGAGAGAGTCGTGAGAGCTCTGTTACAACCTCCCGTCGGTGTATACTGCCATTACTTACAGCGATGAAAAGAGGATCAGCTCATGGAACACCGTCTGTGTATACGAATTGTACAGGCGCGCAACGGTAGAGTCCCCCCGGAGGCTAGTGTGCCCTAGAAACCGTCTCCAACCAGATCGGTTACCTTTGGAAGGCTGTCCAGTGGCCATTTCTACGAGCACCGGATGTCTACCTCCTGGATTCAGGGCAGATGCGTATGTTATGCCACAAAAGGGACTGACCGAATATTGCGCAGATCGGATACCTTCCGCAGGATGTTTTCTGCGTGAATCCGATGGCCTAGGATACAGACCCAAAATTGCCCAGATCAGTTACCTTCCGTCGGCTGCGCAGTAGACTTCTGCAGGAACTCGATGTAACTACCCGTAAAGAATGGTCAGATGCGCACGTCATGTCCTATCAAATAAAATATATAGCCGCCTAGGATACACAGACCCCAAAGCACAGATACTCCTAAAAAAATGACTTGACCCAGTACGACCCCAACGGGTAAGTGTCACCGATTCCTAAGATCTTGGGCCCATAGGGCCTGCTTGGCAAACCGACCAAGCCCCATTTGCAACTCCCTGAGCACAGGCGGATCTTAGTATCCAATGGAAGATAGGACCTCAACAGCCTCGGGTCCAAAGCTATTACCAAAATGCCGGAAGGTGGAGTGCAGCAGTCTCGAAGGGTAACCTCTAAGCAGCAACTCTCTTCTCACTGCCAGAACTGTCTCCCGTTGTCCCCAATAATCTGAGGTGAGCTGAAAGAGTCTATGCAAAGTACTCAAGATAGAACCCACCTTAGCTCTCTTGCAAGAGTATGAATCGAATCCTGGAAGCTACCAAATACCAGCTTACCCGAATCCCAAATACAAGTTGCGTTTTTGACATGTGTCACTGTGTGAACCATCAAACCATGCTTGTAAACATCAATCCCAGCGAATACCCAGTGATCTGAGTCATCATCCGTCCTAACCAGACGCAGGACCTTACCATAGCAGTTGTGAAACTCACGTAAAATGCGCGCAGCGCCAACCCCCTCATCCTTATCTAACACTGCAATGAAAATGGTCACGTCGTCAATGATCCTGAATCCCTCAACTAGACGACGATCCCTGCCAAGTGAGGATAGAAATCTCCATTCAAGGAAGGCCAACAACATACAAGCTAGTGGGCAACTAGATGATTTGCCCATAGGTACGCCAACTACCTGTCTGAGCAACTGGCCCCTCGAGAAAATGAAGGCAAATGCTAAATCAAAATGTACCATATCCCTTATCGCTGAAAGATTAACCATGATACATTCATCCCGAGAGCCTCCATAATTCAACCACGCCTTCCGTCCTCTCTTAGAGACCTTGACACCCTTACAACCTTCACCACGAAAATAGGCCAAGATCAAGTCCAATGCTTCCATGATATCCCCATGAGGCAACGAATGGGACATGTCTTTGATATCGAACGAGGCGGTGAGAATATCCCTTATCCCTTTTAGGATACGAAAACGTCGATCCATCTCATGCAATCCTGGAACGAAATCCATAACCGCCTTGAGATTGAAAGAGGTTCGGCAGGGTCACGTAAACAGCGAAGTATTAAGTGCCCGGGCCACACGTGCACTAGCTACCCTAGTAGGTTCTGCACATGTTGGTGAAATGGGTCGCCATCTGGTAAGATCCTTATGTTTGGGCAACGCATACGCATTCCCAAATGTACCCGCTGGGTCCCATTTCCCAAGGGATTGAAGCCCCTTCCCTTTGAAGATTTGCTTCATTTCATTCATGCAAATTCCATCATCACACTTTACTGTCTGAAATGACATGCCCCAGTTAAAGGTCATGAAAAGGTAGTGGCGGTACACAACCGGACACACGACTAAAGTATCAGCAATATTGCGATCTATAGGTACACAAACAAATTTGTTAAGTCTGTCGTACCAGTAGGTGAGATCAAAGTTGCTTTCAGCAGATTCGAGCGAGCTCCAACATATTGATATATCATGTTTTGAAACCATCAAGCCTGACCTTAGATAGCTAGCAACCATCACCAGCTGCTTACCTAATTCCACCACTCCATGTTTGGGAAGAATTCGGGGAATATTCTGGGAATTCTTCAAAATTGCCGGAATCCCAGACACCGATCCAATCCGTGTAGAGACATGGTAACCCACCTTTTCCCAGGTAGGTTCACGATAGCAACAACAACCCCAATCTGCCTCGCTACTACCCCGAACAAACCGATGAAAATTCCACAGATACCGAGAAATAGGTTTGTTTTTACGCCAAACGAACCGTACCTTCTTTCGCAACAACTTCCTAATTCCTACTGGAAAAACGGAAGCCTCCAGAACACGAAGGACTAGTGCGTGAACCTTCGCCGTACTCAGCCTGTGATATAAAAACATCCGAATAATGATTCGCCTCCGGACATCCATTCCTATCTTGTTCTTAATCGCTCTAGCCAAAATTCCCCTCAAGGTAGTCCTAGTAGCTTTACCCGAGAAGTCCCGGATCGCTCTATACCATCGCGTCAGCAATCCAATCGTCGTAAACTTAAGCATACGTCGGCGCCAAGGCTGCAACAATAAGCTACGCAGGTGCCCTTTAGAGACTTCCCTACCTCCAGGTGTGAAAACCGTAGTCCTAAGGCAAAAAAGCCCGCCCTGTTCCAACATCTGCTTTAAATCCTTCAGAAAGAAACACGCACTCCCGATTTGCACCACAGAAAAACCAAAACATCGCCGGAGTAGAGGCCAAGTATCCGCCCACAGACAATCATTCGTACACTCAATCCATACCTCTTTTTGTCTAAGAACCGCGGTCGAATGCGAAATGGACAACAAGCTATCATACCACTGTCCATTCCTTACACGAAACTTGAGGACACGTTTTAGATGCACGATTACTCCCTTGCCTTTCCTCCTAACTCGGGCTGGCCTGGGTGGCCGGCGCTGAGTCCGAATTTTCTTACGGAAATTCAGAATAGGTGAAAAATTCTTAATGAGGGATCTCTCCGCCGATTCGACTCAACAAACATCATTGAGTACCGGGACAGTGACATACTTAGACACACCAAAATGTCTCAGCCAACGATACAGCTTCGGACATACCCCAACCCCCCGTGCCTTTACTGTTCGTACGTGCTCACCCCATCGTACATATATGCCACGTACCGAGCATCCGACATACTGAGCCTTACACCAAGGTGAAGACAACAAATAAACGACCGGCCCCGACTGCCATGTGTCCCAGTTCACATCAACCAGCAGAGAATGAAATTTGCGCATCCATACGATCTCTCCCAATATAGCTAAGGCAACAAAACATAGTGTGACACACATATCCAACAACAGCCGTGTACGCGTGGATGCCCCCAAATCCCAAGCCAACTGCCTCAGTTTCATACACTCGAGCAAGTTAGACCATAGCCAAAAACGACAGAAGTTAGAAATTCACCTAGTCGGTGTACACTCATCATCATGAGATGCGGGAGCCGATGATCCTGGGGTAAGAACAAACCCTTCCTAGCCACATTTAGTGCGCACTTCAATGATCCTGTCGATTGTGGGTGCCTTCGTGGTATACTGCACCCCCTCATTCTTACAGATAGTCTTCAGCTGATCTTTGTTCTTGGAAATGAGCAGTTTCCTTTGCGCTTGCACAAAGGCCAAAATCCCCTCCGGTCCAGATCCTGCTGCAACCTTAGTTCGCGGCCACTCCTCCCCCATCCTAGACGATTCAGCCGCCATCGGTGCATCCTCCTCGCGGTGAAACACCGGTTGTCTAAATCTGTGTGCCTCCAATCCGGAAATCGCTTTCCCCTTGCGTTTACGCTCTCGGATCTCATATAGTTTGGCGATCTCGTCTTCAATCCCCTCCAACCCTTTACCCGCATAATCCATGTCTTCCCCCTCTTTCTCCTTTCGTACGAGAGTACAAAGAAATGGGGATCTGATTTCCTCCCTACGCACTGCATCGCGAGCACATAGGTACTGTCTATCGATTTTTGACATAACCCTCGGTTCTATCGCCTCAGAGTTTCTCTCGATCTCTGATCTAATCAGCTCATTCATCTTCCTCCTCTCCTCGAATTCCTTTTTTCTAGCTTGTTCCTCCCTTTTCTCGGCAATCATCTGCCGGATAAACTCCCATTCTTCCGCGTCTTCCTGTGGCCGCCTTGGTGTCCAAAACCGTGACGCAAATGGAGTGTCACCTCCTCCTCCTCCCCCTCCACCTCCTCCTCCGCCCCCATTCTGGCTACCTCGGGCCGAAGGGCATTCGCGGGCGAAATGTCCGTCACCACCACAGTCAAAGCACTTACCACCTCTTCCGTTGTTCGCCATGTATGACGACTCCAAACCCGGTTCTACAACGATCTAAGCAGGTTTGAACACATGCACTAATTCGCAATGATTAATAACTACGATTCAACGACGACCCCTCCCACGATCATACCCTAATCCTGCCTAACAATCACCCCAATCGTAGTAGCCTCCTCGTCAAAGAATATGACCACCCTGATGAGGATATCGGATTCCAACATAAACGCACATCTAAGAATAATACGGTCCATATCTAAAGCTCCCACAAAAACGTTAATACCTAGTCGTAGGTGTGGCCACCACCCAATGTGCAATCTCACTGGAGGTTGTCACGTGCATAAGAGTATAGATAAGAGTCCGACAAAGACAATGTGAGCATGAGGACGGAGACAAAATGATACACCCATAAATCGCACAGTCTCGTCACGCACGCAAAACGTATCGGAACGAAGTCATCTTCTCCAAAAAACCCAACGTGAGTGAGAATAGAGCTTATCTCATAACGCACACACGAAGTATCGAAATACACGGTTAACCCTCGACGCGTTTCGTCTGCGCCATGACACAGACTCTTCAGGAGGAAGAAGAAGAAGCAAATATGATACTACACATAGGGCCATACCTCATGCCTTGGCCCATTTTATAGCTACCCTACACCCATCTTAGGCTGCCCATCCCCTACATGATCCCGGCAGAGACCCCACTCCGACCAAAAATCATCACACCCTTTCTGGTCCCGTGACAGGCACAGTCGAAGCAGGCAAAATACGTGCAACACGAAGATCTTCAGCGGTGCCATGACGGAGGTATCAGGGTCACCTGCAACGCAAGCCCAAAAAAAACAAAGACAGGAGAATCACAGACAAGCACAGACACAGCACAGCACCGCAAAAAAATGTGCACAAGGCACGCCACTATCCAGCCTGGTATGCGCCAGAACTTGCTGCCGAGCTGACGTGGACATGGCAACGATGTCCTCTCGCCATCGGCAATGGAAACTGTAACCGTAGCACAGAGTGTTCGTAAAAGAGCTCAGTTGAAGGCTCAACTTTACGACCTCAAGTCGGTGAACTGGAAATGGCAGAACTGCTGCCGCGGCGTCGGCCAAGGAAACCGAATCCAAGAACGCACGTCGAGAGAGCCGTGAGAGCTCTGTTACGACCTCCCGTCGGTGTATACTGCCATTACGTACAACGATGAAAAGAGGATCAGCTCATGGAACACGGTCTGTATATACGAATTGTGCTGGCGCGCAGCGGTAGAGTCCCCCCGGAGGCTAGTGTGCCCTAGAAACCGTCTCCGACCAGATCGGTTACCTTTGGAAGGCTGTCCAGTGGCCATTTCTACGAGCACCGGATGTCTACCTCCTGGATTCAGGCCAGATGCGTATGTTATGCCACAAAAGGGACTGACCCAATATTGCACAGATCGGATACCTTCCGCATGATGTTTTCTGCGTGAATCCGATGGCCTAGGATACAGACCCCAAAATTGCCCTGATCAGTTACCTTCCGTCGGCTGCGCAATAGACTTCTGTGGGAACTCGATGTAACTACCCGTAAAGAACGGTCAGATGCACACATCATGTCCTATCAAAAAATATATATATAGCCGCCTAGGATACACAGACCCCAAAGCACAGATACCCCTCAAAAAATGCCTTGATCCTGTACGACCCCAACGGGTAAGTGTCACCGATTCCTAAGATCTCGGGCCCATAGGGCCTGCTTGGCAAATTGGCCAAGCCCTTTAAATCTTAGTTTCTTTTGCCCGCGCATGAAAGAAAAAGGGAAAAAAAAGGGGTTTTGTACTGCAATGATGTCGGGCAAGGTAGTGTAGGAGGTCATGCTCACGATCTTCCTCTACACAACGCATCTTACAACAAAGATGGTCACATTCTGACACTTGCTATTTTCCTTCCTCGTTTGTTTGTTATGTGTCATCTGCCAACGAGGCAGGGCGGAATCCGTGATCTGCTTTAGCTGTATTTCCTCAGAGGATTGTAACCCTGATCACACTGGTACTTGGAGCCTTAGTTTTCACGGCCGAATCCGTGTTTCTGTTTCTTTTTTCTTGTTTTCTGTGTCTGGAGACTGACAATCTTAATCGATGATCTGCTCGAGCTGTGTGTTCCTCAGAGGATGGTAACCCTGATCACGTTGGCACTTAGAGGAGTGTATCCGACCATTTTCACGGCCGAATCCGTGTTTCTACTTTTTTTTTCTTGTTTTGTGTTTATGAAACCTGACAACCTGGCCACGGGGCTGAGATGCCGTCACTGAGGGCACACTCACACTACCACTTCTAAGAATGCATACAACTGCAATCACAGCCAGAGCTTTGTTTCCTCTTTCTTGTTTCTTTGTTTTGTGAGTTTCACGGCTTCAACTTTTTTTTTTTTTTTCCTTCCCGAGAGAGTACAATAAAGAAAATGTAGTGGGACCCAGGCTCGACAAAACTCGGAGCGCAGTGAAATTCATGGTCGGCAAAAATAGGCTTGGAGGTACTAGTGGTTTAAGCATTCATGAAATCCAATTGTTTATGTTGTTTTCCTCAGATAATAGAGATTTGAGGTAGGATCACATGGAAATAACATAGCTTCAGATGGTCCCAACTTTGAATTGGAGAGGCTCATTGAAAATTCAAACAAACTCAAATAAATTCAACTAAAAATCGTAACATTTTTCTAACCAATTCAATAAAATTCTAATAGATTCAAACAAATTCAAATATGTTAAAATAAACTCAAACAAATAAAAATAATTTCAAACAAATTTTAATAATTTAAAATTCAATAAACTCAAATAAATTCAAATACATTCAAGTACATTCAAATACATTCAAATACATTTGAATACATTGAAATAAATTCAAACAATTCAAATACAAAAATTATAAAATTATTTAATTCAATAAATTTAACACCTCAATTATTAATTCGACATGTCAGCATCCTCTGCGGATTCTAGAACTTTACAGACTTCAACATCCAATCCTGCAGATACCAATGCATCAGCCCATGCCATCTGCTGTTCCAAAAGTCGATCTCGCGGCCCCTTCACTTCCACAAGCTTTGCCTCCTCAATGTGATATCCCTCTCCCTATCCCTCTGAGTGGAAGACTCACCCTCCTCACCATTCCCCTTTCCCAATTTGGCATCATAATGAAAGTCATGGCTGCTGCAGATATTGTGTTCGTTAGTACCTTCCCCCTTTTCGGGTGCAAGTTTTCGCTCCAGCCACAACAACAGGTCTGGCTATCCTCCCGACCATGCTGCATGGTCCTCTGCCCGAAAGCGGCAGATGGCTGCAAGCCTATCACCACCAATGCAAGCCGCAATTACCTGCAACTCTGACAACGAGTGTCGCTTAAGATAGGTGCATAAGCCACGCTATTGGTTATACCAATTGGACCGGGGACGCGTCCCCTGACGGAGCCTCTCAGTTCGAGCGGACGGTTGTCTGTCCTGGTGGACTCCCTGCTCCCGCGAGTACAGTTTTGCTGCGGGCAGGATTTTTTTTTTTGACCTGACTTTTACTTTGGCCTTGCTGCTATCCCGATATCAGGAAAAATAATAGCCGGGGTCAGTAAGCCCACAAAAAAAAAGTGACCAATCTTAGTCACTGATCTTTGTTGATCGGTGGCCTGGATCATCTGCAATTCAAACTTTAGAGGCGGTTCAAATAACGCATGTGGACGAGTCTGCCCCCCACCCCCCTCCCGCTTCCAACAATCGCAGAATGTAGCTGAAATTGGATTGAACCGGATTGGATTGAATTTGATTTGATGTCATTTCATTATGAATGCTCTCAACTGGACCAGTTTTTTTGCGTTCGGATCGCACAACATGTTTTCTTATTGGTTCATACAAGGTTGAAAAAACGATTTCTCTCGCACACATAAAAGAAATTGGACAAAAGAAGAGAGTTAACGATTCTCATTTCTCTCTCTCTTGATCTCAACTACAAAAAAAATTAAATAAGAAAATATATATATATATATTGATAAATTATATTTGCCTAAAAAATAAATAAATTAATAAAAAAATCGGACCACGTTTCCTCCCCCGCCCCACTACGTTCTCCCAACCCTCCTTCGTTCCCGTCTCTCTCTCTCTCTCTCTCTCTCTCTCTAGCACACAAAAAAATCTAGAAAACAAGAGTAAATGACAAAAAAAATCGCATTACCCCGTTACCTCGTCGACATTCCCTTAACCCTTCTCCATTCTGTCGTTTCTCTGCCACCACCGACTTCCCATTATCCCTCGTCGAAGAAAAACCCAACTTGAAAGCTATGGCGCAAAACGATCACATATCGCACGCCCAAGATACCAATCTCTGTTAGCGGTAAAAGCCCGCGGCCAAAAAGAAATGTAAGAGAGTGAAGAAACTCTGTCGATAATTTGGAAGGCAGCCATATTACTTACAATAATGTGTCTTGACCCTTCATCCAACTTGAGAGTGTCAAATCAAAATTCTTGCCAAGAATGTTTATGAAGTGTGCAACCTCATCTCGATCTGGAAATTTCTTAATGAAAACTGAACCTCTGCATTTCATTAAAACTCTAAACTTTTCCTCCATTCCTGCCAAAACATGCAATTCAACAAAAGCACAAATGACACTCATTTAATCCAATATTACTTACAATAATGTGTCTTCACCCTTCATCTAACTTGAGAGTGTCAAATCAAAATTCTTGCCAAGAATGTTTATGAAGTGTGCCACCTCATCTCGATGTAGGAATTTCTTAATGAAAACTGGACCTCTCCATTTCATTGGAACTCTTAACTTTTCCCCCATTCCTGCCAAAACATGCAATTCAACAAAACCACAAATGACACTCATTTTATCATGTTTATGACTTAAATCACGATTTTGAATTTGTGCTCACAATCAAACATTGTCGCACCAAACTTCAAAGATTTGAATGCATGATTATAATCGTAGCTGCTAAGGAATAAAACTGTACATGTGAATAGTGAACATTACAGCATCAGGTTGCACCTTGTAGCTTTCAATCTACTACGATGCGAGGTGTCATAGATCTTAACACTTTCGCGGGACTTGACTTGGACAATTGGGCGGATCACTTATCACCAGAGATCCTCACATTGAACTGCCCTGAG